GCTTTCTGTCTCTCTGTCTCTCTCTGTCTGTCTGGCGAGTGCATGCGCCCTATAGCAAAAACCTCTCAAAAAATATATATATATACACACACACACAAATACGTACATACACACACACTTGCACACACACCACACACACACTAATAGTAAATGAACAACCAAGTTAAAAACCGGCAAAAGGACTGAACAGGTGTCTCAATGATAAGATATGCAATGGCAAATAAACACATGAAAAACATTCAACATCATATGTCATTAGGGCACGGGCAAATTAAAACAATAATGTCATGCCACCCCACACCTAATAGAATGTCCAAAATTCAAAACACTGACAACATCAAATGCTGGTGAGGATGTGGAGGATGTGGAGCAACAGAAGTAGTCACTCATTGCTGGTGGGGAAGCAAAATGGTACAGCTATTTCGGAAGACACTTTGAAAGCTGTGCATACTCTCACCAAAAGATCCAGTAACCACACTTCCTGGTATATAAACAGATGAATTGAAAACTTATGCTCACATAAAAACCTGCACTCAAATATTCATAGTAGCCTTATTCATTTCGATTGCCAGAAAGTATGTATGCTCACTAGAAAGAGAAAGAGAAACACACACACAGAGAGAGAAAGGGAAAAAGCATGCCCCAGGGGGCACCAACTTGCCATGATTCCTCTTCTTCCATTTCTCCATCCCGTTGGGATTTGGGCCATGCATGCACATACACCTGACTTGTTTCTCAAGTCACCAGGGCTGAGATTTGAACTGCAGTTAGTGATGTGGGATTTGGTGCCCTTAATCACCAGGCTATAGGGCCATTCCTGTAGTAGCCTTATTTTTAATAACCAAAACATAGAAGCAACAAAGATGTCTATTCCTGTAGGTGAATAGATAAATAAACTGTGGTACATTCAGTGAAATGTTATTCAGCACTTAAAAAGGCATGGGCTATCAAGCCATGAATAGATGGGAAGGAAACTTAGATGCGTATTATGAAGTGAAAGAGGCCAGTTTGAAAAGGCTATGTATTGCATGATTCCATCTATATGACATACTGGAAAACACAAAACTATGGAGGCTATGAAAAGCTCATTGGCTTCCATAGGTTAGGGGAAAGAGACGGATGAACTAGTGAAGTACAGGGAATGATTAGGGAAGTGAAATGATTCTGTAGGATTTCATAACGGTGGGTACATGTCCTTATACTTTTGTCAAAATCCACAGATTGTGCAATACAAGAATGAACCCTAATGTAAACTATGGACTTAGGGTGATAATAAGGTGCCAATGTATGTTCCCCAATTGTAGCAAATGAACCACTCTGGGGTGGGGTGTTGCTAGGATATGTGCAAGTGTCAGTACAATGTAGTATATGGTAATTTTGTATTTTCTGTTCAGTTTTGCTCTGGACGTAAAAATGCTCTAGAAAATAAAGCTAATTGATAAAACAAAGTAGGGACCAGCAGATGGCATAATGGTTATGTTGCTGAGCTCCCACATAGTCAACCGTGGTTTGAGTCCTGGACGTGGTGGCTTCAAACTCATGCTGTGTGCACGTGTGTGTATACCCGAAATACCAAGATGAGAATAGAGAAGGAATTGTGACATGGCCATACCTTGTAGAGGGTGACTTCTTGCTTTCTGTCTCTCTCTCTCTCTCTGGTGAGTACATGTGTGCCCTATAGCAAAAATCTCTCTCTAAAAAAAAAATAAAAATAAAAATAAGTAATATGGAAGCCTCAGCCTCACACTTTGTCCTGGAAATTGAAGGATTCAATGTAAGGGACCAGACTCTTTGACGTCCTCTGTTTTCAGAGGTGGGTGATCTGCTCAGTCTTTTATTGGTTTCTTCAATTAGATTCATGGCAGGACCTGGGGCTCCCCTCTTTTTTGACCTGGAGATCTCTCCTCATTAAAGGCCTCCACCTTCCTGAGAGCAAATTGGAGCAAATGAGGGTGGCTTTACCTGGCCACAATTGACCCTGTTCTCCCAAAAGTGACAGCTGTGGCAGAGTGAGATCCTGTCATAGATTACCCTCCTCAGGGTCCTAATTCCAGGTTATAACTCTAACTCATAAAGTTTTAGGGTTTTTCTCTCTACTGAGCTAATACTACATCCCATCAGACCAAGACCCAAAGGCTCTTACTTCTGAGAAAGATTGGAAAGTGCTTCTGCAGACATTTATACCCAAATGTCTCAGGGCTGACAGTACGGAAGAGTGTGTGGGGTTCCCATTGATAGGAATTGTTTTGGTGGTTACTGAAGTCTTCAGGGAACTTACATTACTTCTGAAACACCTTGAAATCTTCCCTCTATGGACCTGAGTCAACCAGCCTCAAACTAAGTTCTTTACTTTCCTGAGGCCTCCAAGTGGAAACTGGATTCAGCCACATCCTGCCATGGCTATTCAGGAACTCCATGGGCTGACAGCAGGGTTGATACCTTATGAGCCACAGTGCTCTGGTTGGGGACTTGCTTCATTCTTTATTCACTGTCTTCAAATGATCTGTGCCCCTTTATACACCTGAGCCCATCCTCCTGAGGGTAGGACTCAGAAGGCCCCTTAGAACCTTGAAGACGACATGAGGTTTTCTTGCTGACACTTCTGTCTGGCATGTTGTTCTTCCCAGATCTCCTATATGGGAGTCTATCTTGCTTCCTACCCTTGATTAAAGACTGCCTGGGAAATTTTACATCCCTAAGAACTCTTAACCTGCCCCAGGGCTGGTGTGAGATGGGGAATTTGTAACATAAGACAGAGACCTTCGGACAAATGTGAGGTCAGAGGGAAAAAAAAAGAACATTCATCTATTTCTTCTCTTTACCAGGCAGATTTAGCCTCTTATATATATTTCTGCTCAAAAATATAAATTTATTAAATAAAGAGGGCTTTCCAGAGTGACAGAAGGTGCAGAATATGAACTTATGATCTTTTGAGATGATCTATTGTCTTAGTCATTGCACTGCTAACAGAAATATCTGAACCTGAATGCTTTTATAAAGAAAATAAAATTTTATTTACAAACTCACAGTTCTGGTGGCTGGAAAGGCCAAAGTCATAGGCCTAAAATATGGCCAAACTAGGGGAGCTTCAGGTTTTTCATTGGTGAGCTGGGCCTTTAAGCCATTTTGTAGGCCTGGTGGATGTCCAGAATGGATACAAAGTGTCCAGAATGTAATGTGGCTAAAAATGCAGTCTATACTATGATTACTTCATCATCTAACCTTATACCCTAGTACAATGGGATTTAGTTTTTAATCCAGAGATGTCAGAGATTATGCCAAATTCTAGGACCAAGAAAACCTTATCATATGAGGTACCACTTAGCAAGAAAAGCTAAGTATTATGTGTCCAGTCCATGATAAATCTTTTTTTTTTCTTTTTAAGATTTTTACTGTAGGGCCCCTGTGCTTTCCAGAGAGAGACAGACAGAGACAGAGAGGAAGGAAAGTGATAAGTCACCCTGAACCCCAGAGGAATTGGTCATGCTGCAATTCCCTTACCTCCATTCTCCTCTTAGGATTTTGGGCGTGCACACACATGTTCCGGTGTATTTTTCAAGCTGCTTGGTCCGGAACTCAAATCGTGGAGTAGGCCATGTGAAATCCAGGGCCTTAACCACCATGCCACCTGCTGACCCCATGATAAGTCTTTTAATGTCAGTGTGAGATAGATTTTCTCAGTTAATGCACCACAAAACTTACAAAATGTGTTTCAAGAATCAAAAGCTTCCCTTCCTCTCAAATGCTCTTCTAAATCCCTCCCCTATTTTAATCCAGTTAAGAACCACCCAAAATTTGAACCTTGCCTAATGTTTGCCAAATTGCACAGAAGATAACTCAATTGAATCCTCTTTCAGTGGAGTAGCCACTGGTTCCCCTAGCCCAGAACAGAGGACCAGCACAGTGGCTTCTGGACATTCCACCTTCATAGAGGTATCACTGTATTTCTCAGAAATTTCCCAGAGGAGATGTGCATAGACTACCTAGTCTGTAACTTACATTTACTTGCACTGAGATGAGAGCACTGGAAATATTCCATCCTTGCCTCAGGTGGAAATTCTCTCCGGTTTATCATAATCCCCAATCGTTAAATACTGTTTCCCATTCCTGGCTTAGTCTCTCAACTCTGAGCCATACCATCTAAAAACCTACTCTCTGCTCATCACCCCCCCCACCGCCCCCAGTCTCATCCAGCCTAGCGTGAAATCTTTCTGAAAATGTTCTCCCACTGACGGACTTGCAGTTTCCCAAGGCCCAACGCTGCCTTGACCATGTAGTTTAAACTTGACTGGCCTCATCTGGAACTATCTCCCTCCCTTAAATCTCCTTTGTATTTGTCCTTTTGATCTAACAGTGTATACCCCATTTTCCTGCTACGGTAGCTGCTTCTTGACCTAATAATGTTATGGTCCGTTTCCAGGTCTTTTTCTTGCCTTTTCAGTACTTGGATCAGTTCCAAGACCAGATCTTCAATCCATGTTTGGGAATAAATGAGATGGTGATAATAAGTGTTTAATTTATTATTATTTAATTTTATATTCTTGAATAAAACAGATACATACAGTTATTTATATTTTAATTTTATAAAACACAGGGAAAATGGGTTTAAAAAGCTATTTTATGCTATTTATTTCATAAAATGACAGTTTTACTTTTTCACATTTCGAGGAAATGTTATTTCAATTTCATGTTATTTTGCACTAGATCTCTAGATAAAATGGAAGTTCTTCCGATTTGTTTTACAAAACAGCAAAACTCTTACTCTTATACCTAAGAAACATTGAGTGTGACCACTATCATTTGGAAAAATAAATTATTATGCTAAGTCAAAGGAACACTTGAAAACTAACCCCTAAATATAGATAAATCTCCAAGTCACACAAATAGAACAGAAACATCTACTGTCTCCCCTCCAGTTATACCCAGCCCTCCACTACTCGAAACACTAAATGCCTTGACAGAGTGAAGAAATGGCTTTAACTTCGTTAACTGTGGGAGGTTCAGTAGGACATGGTGCTGGGTCACTTAGTGCTATCACCGCATGTGACTGCCCCTTGGGCTCTCTCTTTCTCATCTCTCAAAGCCTCTTCATACCAAAACTGGAAGGCACTGGGGACCATATTATTGATCTTTGACAAATACTCTAGGACTCTCATCTTGCTGGTTTCTGCGTGGGCTCTGGGGCCCCACAGGAATTCATAGCGTGCAGGATCACTGTTGGGCACCTGGCGGTACTCCAGGTATTTCAGCTTCACGAAATCTTGGGTAATAAGTTTCCTAGGCTCCCCAAATATAAAGTGTCTCTTCCCAGCATATATTCTCATCTTATTCAGGAATTCCCAGATCTTCTCTTCAGTGGCGCAGTTTCCCTTCATGAAGATCACGCCCAGGAGACTCATCAGGAGACCAGTCTTAGGTAACCCCATGCCGCGACTCACTGTCCCATTGTTGGGGAGATCCATTTTGCTGACAAGGACATAGGAGTTTTTGGTAGAATCAACTTCCTTTAAATCAACACCAAATACCACCTCCATGCTGAAAGAAGCTCTTTTAAGGATTTCACGGAAGTGATTCTCATATTTTTTATTGATAATCTTCAGCATACCGGTTTTTGTAATGGGCTTTTTCATTCTGTACTTGTGCATCAGGAACTGCACCACTATACTTGACTGTTGGCTTAGAGCACGTCTTCGAGAGCGCATCCTGGATGGTGGCACTTGGGTTGAGTTTGGCTTTTTCCTACTTTTGCTCTTGGCTCCTTTGCACGATTTTGTGTGAGAAACGCCTACAGACATAGTGGTGGATAACGCTTTCTGAGGCTTCTTGAGAGTGCTACGTGAGCTAGCAGCAGATTTTTTCTGGATAATAGCCCCCAAATGAGCAAAGGGTGAGGAAGGGATTTTTTTTTTCTTGGTTGTGGTGGCTTGAGCACCCTGGAGACCATGAGTCTCACCTTGAGTCTGGGTGTGTTTCTCCTGAGCACGAAGGTTACTCTTCTGACCCCAAGGCATGATTTTGTGGTCAGTGACAGCAGGCAGGAGTGTGGGCAGAATGCCAGAGGATGTAGGCACCTAGAAAAGAGAGGACAAGATGGCATAAGCACCGTTAGCAGGAAGATACAATCTTGGTTTTAAGAAGGGTACTTTGGGACCAGCAGTTAGCATAATGGCTATGTCGTTGGACTCCCATGTAGTTGACCACAGTTCGAGTCCCGGACCTGGTGGCTTAAACTCACGCCGGGCGCGTGTGCATGCGTGCCCAAGATCCCGAGAGGAGAATAGAGGAGAAGGGATTGAGGCATGGCCATCCCCCC